ATTTTTTGCAAGGCTTTGGCTCATTCTGCTCCATTTATGACTGTTTAGGGAGTAAATAAATGCTTTTTAGACATTTGTGAATTAACATGGATTCATGGATACAATTATCAAAAACCTGATGAGGTACACCGGAGCAGGTTGAAATGCGGGGTAAGTTGAAATGGATGCCGTAACTATATTTGGAAGTGAGTTATAACAGTGATTATTTTTAAAAGATTGATTTAAACTTAAACGCATCCTATGACTGTCAAATCAAATAGTTACAAACAACTTTGCGTGCTCCTCAGCACATAGACATAGTCATAGCCATAGCAGTTGTCCCCCTCCTAATTCAGCCGCAGATTTCATGTAGGGGAAATGATTGGATGGAATGAGTTTCAGAATCAGATTGACGATAGACTCATTATTTTAGTAAACTCAAAAAAGCAACAATTTTTATTCTTGATAATTACAGATTACGAAAATCCTCATAATTATTGGTTTTTGTTGAAGGACTAAGATTTTTAAATTTTAAAATATTTTGTTCCTTTAATCAAATTTGTTGCTTTGAATATTTTCTCTTCCATGAAACTCCAATGACTCTAAAACTTTCCCAAGAATCTGTCATATTGAAATATTTTCAATTTTCTTATGATTAGCTTATTTTTCAACAGTCTGGCACTTCAAAGATTGACAATATGGGCTAGAATTCTAGAAATTTTTAGCTCGAGAGATAATTTCAATGGGTTCTTAAAAAAATAGTAGGGAATTTTAAGGAGAACCCTTACAACATTCTAAGAAGAATTTTAACAAAGTTCGGAGTAAATTTTCAGGAGTGTTCTAAAGAAAGTTTGAAGAAAATTATTAGCAAACTTCAATAGCAGGTTGGAAGTGAATTTCAAAACGGTTTCTGAAAAATGCTTATAGGCAATTCAATTAGGAACTGTAATGAATTGAACAAGAGTATTTTATACATAGAATAAACTAAAATGCGAGGTTTCATGAGAATAGCAACAATACTGTAGAGTGAATTTCAAAAATTCAGTAGATGGTGAAAGTTTGAAGGGAATTCCAATTAGAATCCAAATTGTTTCTAGTGTGTCAGAAATTTTACTTGTAAACATATAATATTGAAATCAACACAATTGGGTGGAAAACAAAATAAAAATGCCAAAATGGTCTAAAAACAATCATAATCCCCAATTTTTTTTTTATCTTATGCCTAACCCTTAAATCAAAAATAAAATGTTTCTTACAAATGTTCAAATTATTTATAATGATGATAATTGCCAAACTTTTATCTAATTAATCTCTACCAAGACTAAGCTTTCAAACATAATTTTGTAAGTTGTTAAAGATAAATAGATGAGATGAGATGAACAATTGGGAATGTTTTCGATAAAATAAGAAATCTATAAGTATTTAATATTCACCAAATTGTAGAATATTAAAAACCTTTTCATGCATAAAACGCGCAACATCTTCATAATTAAACGTTTATTGAAAATTTTAATAAATTAGAGATACTTAAGATGTTTTATCATTTTGCTTTGCTTTATTTTCGGCGTCACAAAATAATGTTAAATTTTCTAAGTGCATATCGTATAGGGTTGATTATGTGGACAACATTAAAAGTACTATTATTGCAAGGTTATATGATATAATATGCAGGAAAAAATTAAAATTATAATGGACTCTGAATTTCAAAAATCTGTCACTGTCTGGTGAAAACAAAATTCAGATATCGAGCAAAACATGAGTTCGTAACCTTAAAAAATCAATTCCTTTGAATTTAATTTCTTGCAAGCTTAAGATTCCTTAAACCAATGTATCGCTTAAATAATTCTGGGCTTCTTCCTCATATTTATCAATAATTTGAATGATATTACTTGAAACTTGTTGCTAAGATAATTCATGGGAAAATTAAAAAAAAATATGTTGTTAGGGGTTTCTAGGGAAATTAAAAACATCCGGGAGTAGAAAAAAAGAGGATTGTAAGATTTTAAGTAATTTTAATACGACTAGAAAAAACTTGAAACTAGACGACAATCCGTAGAGTTTGAAAAGTTTTGGCTCCCTGGATACATTATTTATAAACATGTTGCAAATTCATAAAATACCGCTGACATATGCCGAAGTATTACTGAAAATTCAGTTTCGGTTAAACGACGATCGAACTAGTAATCCAGTTCTCAAAAGACGTTACAAGAATAGCAAAAGTTCGAAAGGACTACTCATGGAAGAAATATGCGATAAATATATGGAACGATCGAGTAGCATGAAAAAGAAGGAAACATAAACATAAACAAACATAAAACATATATCTTATAAAACCTTTGAAGTCCGGGTCTCAAATAAAATTCATGAATAGTGAGGTATACCAAGCCTAGTGGGACAGAGGAATATGTATTAAAGGTTATTTGGAAATCTGACTGCATTTTTACTTAATTGATCAGCAATATTCGTCATTGACTCTACGTAGTTTCCCGTTTTATCGCACTCTCACACTCATGCTGGTTTTAAAATGGCCGTTTCACTTACCTCGTAATACCATTTGCCCCGATAATTACCAACGGAAAAATTTTCCGCTGACTAGCACAAACGTGGTGGCCGATAGCATAACTATTGGTCTTTATTTAGCAATGTGCAAATTTTTTGACATGGAAATAAATAACTTATTTCCGTTTCACATAAAAATTTTAATACTCTGCTGCAAATCCAGAATCCCTTGAAATTGGTCATATTTGTTGGCAACTCGGTACAAATCGAAAAAGCAGAATGAGTTGCTGGATGTTAAGTTACCGTACCTCAAATGATGTATATTGATATTTTTTATTAAAATAAGTGTTATCCTTGTAGCTATGCTTGGCATGCACAGTTGTACACACCAACTGCTCATTTGTTTCACTCAGTTGCTGACATTTGTTTTTCTTTAAAGTTATTGATAGATTAAGATCATAGCTTACTTCAAATATGAAAAAAGTAGGTTAATTTTAACATTTAAATCAACACCAATGAATGTTTACACTTTAAGTCCGAAATGTGCAGCGAGCATTTCTCACTTGATTTTTACAACGCAAAAACAAATGCATAGTTTATTACTAGAACTAAAATCATCTTTTTACAAGCTACAAGCTACGTATTACAAGCTTAAACATTATTCTATCTACTGCTTCAAACAGAACTACACACTAAAAAAATCTGAATTTTACTGGTGATGTAAACATCCATGCATGCAAACATTCATGCATGTAAACTTCCTTTTCACGTAAACTAGCAGCTTGCAAGAAATGTTGCAAACAAAGGTGGAAAGTTGCATACAATATATGGAATATTGCATGACATGTCTCATAAATTTACACGATTTATAATGTAAATTTGTATGATTTATGACGCTCCATTTATGTGCATCATAGTAACGGAAATTTACACTACTTTTTTTTAGCTGTGTATGTTTTGTCAACTGTGTGCAAAGTTATTAGCAAATGAGCAGTTCATGACCAAAACTGTGTATGCCAAGCATGCTTGTAGTTGAATACACCAAGCTTGACCATGCTGAAAGTGTTCTTAAAGCATATTTAAAACTACATAATTATTGATTCATAATGTTGCACCATTTTTTAATAGCAGTCAAACATGGAACACCCAATTAAGTTGATGGGTTGCAGGACGGGTTCGTGTATTTCCTGACAGATTTTTGTCATTTTCCCGAGAACCCATTTCTCAATATAGATGAAAACAGCATTTATTCGAAGACTACTTTTATTTTCTACACGTAATCAGTACAATTTGTTGTTCACCTATTTTCTACAATACTACCACGTTTTTGTTCACTTGGACTCGTGCAATGCTTTTTTTTCGAAACAATCTTTCATCGTTGCGATTCCGAAGTTGTATAATAGTAACTAATCTAAATCTAAAGACCATTCAAAACAATTTTGAACATTTCCGAAACATGGTTCAATAATGATTATTGTAAAAATAATATATTAATATTGGTGTTTTATTAACATTCATATAAAGGTTCATTTGTTCCCTTGACAAGTTATGAGGGGCTTATTATCTAACACTTTTTCAACTGTAATGCCTATCGTTTAGCACTATTATTTTGTATTAAATACTCGATTGTCGAATTTGTCCCACTAGTTCATTTGTAACTAATTGCATACGCGATTCTACTAGTTTATTTAGAAGGCTAATATTATAAATTGAGCTCGATTTATAATGATTCGTTGGATTTTTCTAATTTATTTCAAGATGCACAAAATTGTCGATCAAACCTACTCAAATATGTATGAGCAATTTTAAATGACAATTTTGTCTATAAATTATTGAATATACTAAGCTAGGCTTTGTCATTAAGTTAATAAGTTAGGAAGGCATCAAGTCAAAGAAACATTTCCCAAGCGACATGAGTGTGTTGCGCAACACAGTTTAATTCTACACTTATGCGCTTGCGGGAAACATTTTGTCAAGTTGTGCACACGCTTATCGATAGTTTATTGCATACAAGACTGTGTTCAATATCATTCTTAAGGTAAATTCGTTTGGACACGCGTATGACCGCTAGAGAGAAAGGGTATAGAGTAAGAAAATGATTCACGAAAGACGGCGCTACGATATAAATAATATGATGCAAGCTTTACAATTAATATGAGGCACTTTGAAGCAAGTCACTTTGCGGTGGTGGTCCCGTATATCGATGAATGTCTGTTCCGTTCTGCTTTGCCGTTGAATCTTACTCAGTCACTGAGGGAGATTCAACGGCCGTGTACAGGGATATGATCATCTTACTTGCACACAAGTTCAGTACATTGCATACCTTCTGAAGTTGATATGAATTTTATGCGATGTATCTCGGGGGCATGAAGACTGTTCATATGAAGTTTTATGCTCGTATATACACCCCACTCGTGTATTTTTTTTTTATCTTAGAATGATCTGAAACGTATTCAACATATTTCGAAAATAATACTGATAAACAAATTCTAATATTAACTTCCTACAGTGGGGAATACGAATGTGTTATTCAAATCAACTATGTATAGCTGAAAACGCTGAAAGCTTGCGCATCATTCCCAATCATGATAAATCACTAAAACGTTGGCAAAATGAGGGGAATCATGCATTTTTAATCAATAACACCAGTGGAAATAAGATATACGAAACCCACCACATGACTTGCTTAGTATTCCATTGTCTTGAGTACACAATAAAATCTTAACACATTTTAGTAATAGCCATTCATAGGGCTGATTTGATTCATTGGTGACTGGAAGAAAGGATTGATTGAATTTTGTAGCAGGAAAATTTCTTCTGGTCTGCCGTTGAAGATGAACGGTCCTTTTAGGTGTGTGATCTTGGAGTCCTGCACGAATGGATTAGGCCTGAAAGCAGGACGACCTGGTGGTGGTCGCGCGACAGGATATGGCAAAGCGTACGCCGGTTGAGGCATTGGAGCAGGAGATGGCGCTCCTCCCCACTGATAGATTCCGGACGGCTTGCCATTAGACACAAAGTTGAGGGGCAAGTTGTAGAAAGGACTCATGTTTACTGGTGGAGCCAACTGTGGGTACTGAGGAACGGCTGGAGTCATTGGCTGGATTGTTGGAGGCTGCGAGATGTATCCGAGCCCAGGAACAAACATGTACGGAGTTGGAGGCAAACGGATGTAGTAAATTGGTGAATTTTTTTGGTTGGGACGGCGGCGAACACCTTGGTTGGTACGAGACAAGATTTCTTCATCTTCCATGTTTTCATTGTTTGAGTATCCACCAATACTTTGATAGTCCTGCGACGCTTGGTGGTTATCCAAATTGTTCAGATTAGGAATGCTAGTTGACGGGACGTTTGGCAGTTGATAACCGTTCAGACTCTGAATTCCTGCCATGTTCTGGTATGCCGCCATGTTCTGTTGGTAATTTTGAAGATTGACTAGTGAGTTGACGTTTGGATAGTTTTCGAGAGGAACATAGTCATCATAGTACTCCAGCGGATAGTAGGACGGATAAGCCATTTGTTGTGGATAAGTTGGCTGTGGATAGTTTGACTGTGGATAGGTTGGCTGTGGATAGGATGGCTGTGGATAGGTTGGCTGCGGGTAATATCCGTAAAATCCGTACATTTTGTTCTTTCTCTGGGTACCCTGTGCGGTGAGGTCTTCGAACAGCTTTGACTTGAGCGTTTTAGTTTTGCGTAATGAATCTTTGGGAGTTTCATTTTCAACGCTTTCCACCATCGAATCCATGTTTTCTATATTGTCTACGTCAACTTCCGGTTTGCCGTCATTTATGTTCTCCAACTCAGAACCGATTTTTTCTTTGGATGGCGTTTCCTCATTTTCCATTGATCCGTACTTTCGTTGAATTTCTTGGATTGACGAAAGAAGTTGTGAGCGTTCTACTGGAGCTCCAAGGACAGCGTTGTGCACCAAATGTGCCAAAAGGCAGACTATGACAATTCGACTGATCATTTTGATGGTCTGAAAGTAAAACAAAAATAAAAATTGGGATTAGAAGTCATAATAAAGTACATAAAGTTAAATGGTTTATGTAAAATTTGATGTATGTAAAAAGGAAAATTTCCTACTGATCAACTCGGTGTTGATCCGTTGAGATTTGTTGTCTTTTGTTCCGCATTGGTTCTTCTTTCGCAAATTTTGTGAGAGTAAGTTCTTGGTCTTGTGTCATGCGTCATGTTTCATACAAGTTTACATCATAGATCGTGTAAATTTATGAGAAAATTAATTAAATATTCCAAATAATGTATGCAACCATCCATGTTTGTTAGCAGCATTTCTTGTAAGTAGCTAGTTTAGGTGAAAAGGAAGTTTACATCCATAAATTTGTGTATGCATGGATGTTTACATCACCATTATTTTTTTTTTCGGTGTAAATAGATACTACATAATCAGTACGTTTTGCATATTTGCATATGATTATAATCCATAGTTTTGGTCAGTGCTGCAAAATCTCGACAGTACACGGTGATATTGACAATTCTGCTTTGGTCACTCATTTGAGCTAACAGTCATAGTCAAGGCAAACCATGTCAATTGTCAATGACAATGGTGTCAGTGACGAACATGTGCAGATTTGTTTATTAGCTAAATTTGTAACGACATTAAATGACTTGAGCAAAACAATTACATAGATCCATTTCAGTGAACAAGTATCTACGTCCTGAGCTACTTGGATAACAATAATGTGACACAGAATGTACTAAATTACACTTTTTGTTACCAGGTAAATCTTTGTCATTGACGAAAAAATGAATGAGATTTTGACGAAGGTTTTTTTGAGGATCAAGTCTGTCAGTGACTATGTGACGAACAATTTTGTCAATATCGCGCGAAAGTCTGTCAATGACAATGACAAATCTCAGCACTGGTTTTGGTACAAGCGAGCGTACAAGGCGTAACAACCCGAAGCATCATAGAGTTGAAAATTGGAAAAACGCCATGTAAAAGGAAACATTTTTGGTGGTTTGAAATGATGTTTTCTTCTATTTTTTTTTCGAGTTTATTGAGTAGTTTGTGAACTGTTCTCTTTATATGAAGCAAAATATGGTTTGTTTACATTTGGTTTTTCCACCGTTTTCAAATGACAGTCTAGGAATGTTCAGTATGGAAAGCCTCTAGGTTAAGATTAGAGCTGCGCCGAATAGTGCTATTCGGCCAGCCCTAATAAAAATTGTATGGTTAATTTGCTTAACGACGTGTTCTGGGTATCATCCAAACCATTTGTGGAATAGTTCAATGATTTGGGTTATCGTTCGTTTATGGTTATTTTTTATTAGGGAGGTCTTCGGTGTTTACATGTTAATTTTCTGCTGATATTCGGCATTTTACTTTTAGACTAGTGGCCGTCAAAACGATTGAATAAAATTTTGCTAACTTAGATCTCGATATTCGGCCAAGTACTATGGCGGCTGAATATTCCGTTCAGCACTATTGTAGATGGTATCATCTCAAGTATTGTATTTTGCATTTCTTACTGGACTCGTCAAAAAAGTGATGTTGCTAATAAAAGTGCGCGGTTACGTTGTATCGTCCTGGTGTTTGCTGCGCACTGACTCCTTATTAATCAAGGAATAAGTACGCAGACGACACCAAAGCCATTTAACGTTAAATCGCTCTTTTATTAGTGTTTCCACATTTTTTGTCGAAAAATTGAGCCTTTTTAAAAAGTTCTCCTGTTTTTATCACCACTTCATCACTAGTCGAGTTGGTATGAAATTCGTCTTGGGTTGGACAACATCAACTTTTTTTTCTCTTCGACCGATATTAAAACAGAACGGGTGATTCTGACGATCTCCGTGGCTGATGATGATTTTATTGTTGTATAATATGCAACCATGGTATCTTAATTTTATTTATTATATATTTTCAATTTTATCTTATAATCATTAATTTTTTTTAATCTGTCAGCAGTTAATAATGTTAAAAACTACACAATGGGCATGGCAATTAAAGCTTTAAGTTGCAATGCTGCTGAATAAGCTACTATTCAGCTAATCTCACCAAACATTGATGCTATACATTCAACATTCCAAATGGTTCTTAGTTGCTAACCGTTAGGTAATATCAAAAAACATTACAAATATCTGCTTTACACCAATCTGTAGCATACTAATAATTGCAAGAAGCAAGCTGCTTTTAGTTCAAATAGTGATAAAAAGCTATTTTTAAATACGTTTAAAAAAAAAGTAGCAGGATAACGTAAGATTGTTTGATTGATTTAGTATGACACTTGAATATTATTAGAGTCTATCAGTATAACCAAAAACCTTAAAATTGCTCTAATAACCGATGGCTGTAGGACTGATTTCTCTCTCTTTCTCTATATTATTTGGTAAATATTCCATGTAAAGACTACATTATAAAAGTAGATCCATTAAGCAGCCATTGGTTAGTTGAACTAATAAACATTAAACATTTGATATAAAAATTACCCATATTACCAGTGTTTAGAAGGTTAAAACCCGGTAATTTGTTAATGCAAAAATGGTACGGTTTTACCGGTTACACCTAGATCTTTTATATCTCATCCATCAACACCTTATAAATCAAACATCGATACATGGCTGTACTTCCATTCATAAAAAAGACAGTAGATTTTATATCCTGGGGCGTTTAAAATATGACGTCCACTACTTTATTGATTTTTTAGAAACCTTCTTCCCATATCTATTCAACGTACTGTCACAAATTCTTGAACCCCCTCATGAGTGGACGTGGTTTTAAAATCACCCATCAGGGGTGATAATTTGTGAAACAATAAGCTTTGATCCTTTAAAAAAATACTGTGTAAACAAGTATTGACCCTAGTATAATAATCTCTGTGTGTGTTCTTCCAACCAAAGCTTCTATCCTTGAAAAAAAATACTGTGTAAACAAGTATTGACCCTAGTATAATAATCTCTCTGTGCAGTTTACATCGAAATCTGACCAAAAATTTGGACCATAAGATAACCCAAGCTATCGCCAATTAAAAGAGTACCGTTAAACAGGGTAACATTGACAGTTTTTTTTAAAGTATATTCTAAATATTTTTTACATCAATGAATGTTTCTCAAATTTTATTTGTTTACCCAACCGGTGGATGTAAGATTCGCTTACAATTATGTGGGATTCATCATCAGAGGATGTAAGTGGAGACCGCATGAACCGAGGATGCGGTATACCTAGCTGCGGTCCAATGCAAGAAAATTGGAGACCGAAAATGTAGAGTGTATTAGTGAGGTAAATTAGTTATGTAAAAAAAAAATAGGAATCAGATTGTCGACAGGACTCGAACCACGAACGTTGCGATTGTCAGACCTGTGCATTCTCCACTGCTCTCTCCATACTCCTGAATATAAATAGCCTAAAAGCAAACATGATGCGCTCATTTTCTCGCATACTCGACTTCGTATGCTTTTTTCTGCTGGAGAGATTCGAGGCAAGTGTGTGCGTCGTTCTACAATGTTCTACAATGTGCGTCGTTCTACAAGCTTACTGGTATAGTCGAAAGCGTAGATAGAACACGAAATAAAAAAGTAAGAGGTTGTATCCAAGACTCGACCGTAGGATTACGTGCTCGGTATCAATATTTGGCGACTATGTTAGGGAAACCACTTTTTGCAGGCAATCGGTGATAATTTTGATAACCATTTCCACAGTTGGACATTAGTGTAATTTTCAATAGTAACCTAAATGAAAATTGATGAAGTATTGAATTTAGCAGCTTTGAAGAAAAATTACCAATCAATTGGCTTGTTTAGATTTAAAATCCATCCGCTATTGACAGAGTTATAAGTGGTCAACACCTGACCAGTTTTGGTAACACGGTCGATTTTGGTTTTTTATTTTTAATTGCATCCCCAATATGTTGCCAAGAGACGTAATCCTATGTCAAAATGTAAACTTTGCGCGAGACGATGTCATAACACTCGAAAGCAATTTTGTGAAATATGAAGTGAAACAAATCCTCGTTCTGCATGATGATTTTGTTTGATTGTATTTATTTGTAAAGTCGCCGGGTAATACCAGCTGGCAAATTGTTTCTTTATGATAACTCCTTACTTGAAAACAGGCAAAAACTCACAAACAGGCTGCTTTTTCATGGTATATAGAGTGCTAATTCAATAATCAATTAATTACCTCAACATTATGCCTCTAATTTTGGCTCATACATAAATTCAGCAATCAACTAAATTTTCAAAAGCAACCAAAAATATTCATTAGTACCGTCCCAATGACGCGTTCATCTGGATAAAATTGATAAATAGCAGATTTTTAGCGATGGGCCCAATCTTAGATCCATAGGCCAACATTAGAGCCAATTCCCCTACAAAAAATTCTTTAATCCATATTAAATTTCCTATGTAAGCGCCAATCGAAACAAACATTTTGACGTCACTACAAGGTTGATTGAGTAAAAAACGAATCGTGCAAAGCGGGATGAAAGCTTAGGGAAAAACGGATTAATCATTTTGTCAAGCTTCTGCTTTCATGTTCCATCAGTTGTCACTGCTGTTGTTGGCGGTGGCATCAATCGGAAACTACACATAATATGTTTTCCAATAACTGTTCACAGAGGACAGTGCAGTGCAAAACATGTCTGGTACCTCTATATATGCATTTAGATTAACAACTGAAGTCCCTCCTTCTTTACACATTCTGCACTCAAAATAGCTCACCCCTCTCAGGATTTCCTTCCGAATTGTATGAATGGGGCGGGGCAGAAAGTAGCGTTTGAGCAGAATATGTAAAAAAGGAGGGACTTAGAATGTTGATCTAAATGTGGTACCAGACATGTTTTGTACTGTCAGATAGGGTTTACTACCTTATTTCCGGCTTATTAAGCACAACCCGCACTTAGTCCTTCTTAATCTAGCGCAGTTTAGGACCAAACGGAATTTTATTATTACTGATGGCTTCCAAATTTATTTACGTTTATGTACGTACCGTAAAATTTGATATAGAGAAACAAATTGTTT